GCCCCTCTCCTTTATCTTCTGGGGCGTTCAGATTTCTGTGTCCACGAATCTTCCTGGCTTCCCTTTAGGCCACCATTGCCAGTCGTTTAGTCGACTCTGGGAGATCCATTAGATTCAAATGGGTACGCACTGCGATACAGTAATGGTTTTATTGTGACGTCATTATAGCTGTTAAGTGCAGGAAAATTCCCGCGTTATTATGGTATCCCGGCATGCACTTCTTTTGAATTATATTCTTTTGCGAACAATTGTATTGGGAAGACAAAAGCAATGGCATGTCCGCATTTGAAGTATGTAATAAGAAAACAAGGAAATAAAATACATATAAAATTAAATAAAACAAAAATATTTGTGTGCATTTTGCGCATGACAGTTTTCAAAAGAAAAAATAATTCTCGGCTTGGGGTGTTTAGAAACAAAAAACAGAGAAAATATTGGATTTCATTCCAATAATTTGAGATGCAGGCTTTTAATTTTTATTTAAAGAAGTTAGGCTACTTCTTTTTGACAGAATGAATTAAATAATATGAAACCTAGTTGCTAGGATTTAATAAAAAAAAATTATGAATACAAAAAAACAAAACAAAAAAAAAACGAAAACAACATTCATTTAAATGGATGCAGAAAACACCAGGGAAAGTGTAATATTTCAGGCAGGTTTAACTGAGTTTTTAATATTTCTTTTGAAGCAAAAGCAATAATATATATATATAGTCATCCACAGAAAGACAGTTTCACTGATCCTCAATGTGGCTAGATGTTCGACTGCATCAAGCCGGGATCGAACACAACTAATTTGTCATCAGTCAGATCTCTTACCGTTAGACCATCGCCGCGTGACAGAAACGAAGGGAATTTTAACGTTTTTCCTTTATACGAAATACGTTAGCGACTCATAGAACACTATTAAATTTTACTTAGAGTAATGCTTATATATATATATATATATATATATATATATATATATATATATATATATATATATATATATTCGACTAAATCAGTTTTGAAAATCTGCAGTGAAACAGCTTGAAACATATATTCTTTTAAGTAATTATTAAATTTACTAGTTTACATGATTCTTCAAAATGAAAAAATTGTTTAAAATTTTTTTCATTTTCACGACTCATGTAAACTAGTAAAATTCAAAATTTTTTTCCTGCGTGTTTCTCTGTTAAATACTGATTGATTTGCGTATAGCTTTGTGGTTACCGGCGTGGAACGTGAGATTGCCGTATCGATTTAAAATCCCATCATATGCAATTGCCTACGCTTCTGCACAAATACATTTTGAAAATTAAAAATCCATCTCCAACTATAAATTAATAACAGAGCAGACTACGTTTTCTAAGCTTATTTGGCAGTCAGTCTATGAGAAAGATAACTCCAGATTCACACCCGGCTATTGTAATAACGTCAGCAACACTGAGATTATGACACTATACACCACAGAGGAGCTCATATGGTTAACATAAATAAGCATTACTTCTTGAATATTAAATTAAATTTATCTTGGAAATTCTACCGATGCCCGTTGTTTAATATCAATTTCTCTTAAAAATGTTGACTTTCTAGATCCCTACGGAGATTCTGCCTCGGATTATCTTCATCGAAATCAAATTCGAAGCAATCTTTTTAAATTTTCTAACATTTTGTTTTTCATCTTATTTCGCGTAATTTTTTTCTGCACCTTCATTCTCTCTCTTCTCCACTATGAACAACTGTATCTAATATAACATGTATCTATAAATTTATGTATAAGGAAGATGTATTCACCCTTTTGTATTTCCCCCATTATGAGCATTATTATATCCATGATATAATAACACCTTATTTAACGAACGGAATGACTGAAGGGAAAAGGAATGACAAACAAGCTTTGTTTTACAGGGAGTTTTTTTAATGCTACGTTGCACACAATATTATATATACATATATACACGTGTCCCACGTAGAGAACAATATAACATATATCTACACAGAAAGTAGGGGTTAGCAGAACGAAAAGAAAAGATCAAATATATAATATGGAGTTTCTTCTGTGTTTCTGCAGACGTCATGTATAGTAGTCCAGATTCAAACGGATCGGATCCATATGCTACCTCCCAGGCGAGGATACATTTCACGAACGAGAGACCGTGAGGCTTGGTTTTTCAAAAATGACGATTGTGTGCCGGAGTTTCTAACTGTATCTAGAAAGATATATGCCCAAAAGGGAAACGGCACGATGCCCTTGTAAGCTGCAGGGTAGGCAGATTTTGCCTCTGGCCAGGGCGTTTGGGCGCCCCGACTAAAGAAAGAAACGTCTTGGTTTGGCTACAGTAAACTGACTAAATGACTAGCCGCTCTCATCACTGTATGAAGTGACCCTACTGAGCAGCAGTCACGTGACCTATGTCCACCAACGGGAGATAATCGCTTTCTGTATCACTATACATCTTTTGTACGTTCTATGGATGCAAATTAATAAAACCTGCTGTATTTAAATATAAGCTACTTTTTTTTTTAACAGTAAAATTTTTTTTTTGAAACGATTTTTACAATCATTTCACCTCAAGTTAAATGATAGTACAATTAAGAAGCAAATATGCAAAAGTTAGCGAGAAGAAAGGACAAGTTTCAGAAGGCTAAAAGGTGGCGACTGATATTACATTTAAGACATATTATATTTGGACCAGGAAAGTTGCATCTCTGTGACTCGCCAGGAAATTTTTCTTGCCGGAGTCGATCCTTCAAATCTACAAATCAACCATTCGCCCTTGCATGGAGTATTGCTGCCATATATGGTCTGGAGCCCCTTCTGTTTGTCTCAAGGTCCCTGATAAAATCCAAAGATGGATATGCAGTCTAATTGGTCCTGATCTGGAATCTCGTCTCGTCGCTCTCTCACAGACGTACTGTGGCCTCCATCTGTCTTTTTTACAAATACTTTCACGGTAACTGGTTCCCGGACTTCATGAATTTAAGAGGATGGCATTTCGCTCTCAGTCTTTGACTGTCGAAACTGCTAAATGTAGCCGTCTTTTCTACTCCAATAGCTTCATATCTCGCACCTTTCGCCTGTGGGACTCCCTCCCCTTTTCCTGTTTCCCTGATAGATATACTCTCCAAATGCCTTGATCTATTTCCCGTCCTTCTCTTCGTCCTTTCCTTTATCACTCCTATTTGCTCTCGCTCCAACTCTCTGTAACCCCCTGCGTGCTAATGGCTTCGCGCCTTGCTTAAAAAACAAAACAAAAAACGACAAAAAAAAAAAACAAAAAACACACACACACAAAAAAGAAAAAACGTAATCCTAAACAGGAAACAAGGGATAATTCTCTAGTCTTGATAAAGAAAACTGAGAGTGTTGTGAAACAGATGATAGGCATTTGTAGTTCTATTGTGTAGAAAATTAAATAGTGAATAAAATTCAATTCATAATTACGAAATGCGGACTGAACTGACTTCATGTATATCATTTCTGAGACTTTCAAATGGAACTTTCAATTCGATTTACTTAACACAGCGGGCATGTCCAAAGCGTAGGATAAGAGAAATGCTTATTCAACAGATGTTCAGCTATCGCATCCAATTCAATCGTCTGGGAAATCATAGAATTAAAAAAAAAGTAATTAAAAGTAATGGATAGCGACTCGGATTGAGGAATCGGAGAGCCGAGTTCGAATTCCAGTCAGATCCATTACATTCACTTACGTGCTAATATCCTTGAAAAGGTATGGATCCTCTTCTTCTCCCCCAGCTATGGGTAAATAGCAAGGCAGACCGGGTTCTATGGCCTTGGATGGCAACTGGTCTACCGCAGAAAGAAATGGGAACCTACTGCGGGAAAAAATCTGCCTCGTCAGTCATGTATCGAAAGATACATGATCGACTAAGCGTGTATCACACTTGGCACATAACTGATTTAGGAGGCACGGTGAAGTAATGGATAGCGGCTCGGATTGAGGAATCGGAGAGCCGAGTTCGATTTCCAGTCGAATTCCATTACATTCACTTATGTGCTGATACCCTCAGGAAAGGAATGAATCCTCTCCTTCTCCCTCCAAGCTATGGGTAAATAGCAAGGCTGACCGAGTTCTGTAGACTTGGATGGCAATTGTTCTACAGCAGAAAGAAATGGCAAACTACTGCGGAAAAAAATCTGCCTCGTCAGTCATGTATCGAAAGATACATGATCGATTAAGCGTGTATCACATATGGTGCGTAACTGACTTGAAAAAGAAATTTGGAAAAGAAAAATTAATATAAACAAAATTATATTAGACTCGGAACGCGTTAAAAGTAAAAACGAAAACAAAATAAGTAATGACATAAAAAATTCTTATCCCTATACATATGAAACTATCAGCGGGAAAGTCCATAAAAACGGAACATTGTCCACTTAATGCACTATTAAGCCTAATAAACACTAAGAGTGTATTTATTTACCTTCAGAAAATTAAGAATAGACGGGTCAAATGTGAACAGTGATAGAATATCTATTAAAATGCGCATAAAGTCCTAAATCGTTCACTGTCACTTAAGTCTTCTATTATCTTCATCTGGGGACATCCGGGGACATGTGTCTCAATTAGAAATGTTCTCACACACTTATTTCCTATTGGCTACTTATGATTATGCTATGCATACGATTTTCATCTCGAATCGATCATCAAGAATAAAGAAATAAAGACGAAAATGAAACAAAAATTGCAGATATTTTGTTGGCCTGATGACATTCTGTTGATTCCATTTTCCCCACCCCATCCCCTTATTTTTATATCCTCTTCTACATTAATCATTTTTGGAAAGTCTTAACTTTTCAAATTTCCGATTGCAAAATAAACAAACACGTTGAACGTAGAAAAACTAAATAAGAAAGAAAAAAGAACAGAAAAAATAGAATTAAAAATGGCAAGAATTGGAAACCTTGCCAGAATTGTTCAAAATATATGTTTCTTTTTTGTTGCTTTTCTTTCATTTCTTTAATTTCTTTCTTTCTTTCTTTCTTTCTAAAGTAATTCTATATCATTTATTTTCTGCATCTTTTTGTTTGTTTGTCTCTTTCTTTTTATCTTTATTATATTTTCTCTGCATCTTCTTTCTCTGTTTCTTTCTCACCCAATTCTCATTCTGTTAACCATCTCTTTTTGCTTCAATGTTTCTTTCATTTTTTGTTTTCCTTATTTTTCTGCATCTTCTTTCTTTTTTTACTTTCTTTCTTTCTTTTCTTTCGTTCTTTTTATCTTGCATTTTCTTTCTTTTTCTTTCTTTTTCTTTCTTTTTCCTTTCTTTTCATTTCTTTCAGTCTTGCTTTTTTCTTTCTTTCTCATCTTAATTCTCTCTTATTCTTTTTAGACATCAGTTTTTGTTTCTGTTTCATTTTGTGTTAGTTTGTTTCATTCTTATTCTTTTTCTTTACGTTCTCGCTTTTTTTTCTCTTACGTCATCTTTTAACTGGACATAATTCGATTTTTCATCAATAGTTTTTGTTTATTTGTTTTTACTTCTCATCCATTTAGTCATTCATTCTTTTTTTTTCCATTTGTCTTTTAATTTTTCTTCCTGCCGTAAAAGTCTTTTTCCCACCTTTTTATTTTAACTCTTCTTATTTTTTCTTTGTTTTTCGAATATTTCTTCTTGAAACTTTCCAGCATTTTTTCTTTCTTCATTTTCTGTCTTTTTTCTACAATGTCTTTCGATTTCTTCACATTATCTTTGCCTCTTTCCCCTCAGATTAGTTCTTTCGTAATTGTCGAGGAGTGAGTTTCTTTTATCTACACGTTGTTTCGTAGGCTTCCTATATTATCTTTAATATATTTCATTCACTCCATTCCTCTCCTTTCATTCTTTCTTATTCAATTCTGAATCATTCTTCTTTTTCGTTCGTACATTTTTAATTCTATAATTACTATTCTTCATCTTTTTCATTGAATTTCTTTTTATTTCTTTCTGTATCTCAATTTCTGTTTGTTTTTTTGTGTGTGTGTGTGTGTGTTTCACTGAATTTCATTTTTTTTCGAGTTTCCCTTTCCCACTTTGTTACTACAACTTCCAAATTTATATTGTTTTTTTTCCAACTCATTCACTTTGACTTGCAAACAAATGATTGAATTATTTTTTAACGTATCAAATCAATACAACGCCCAGACATTTAAATTTGAACTCGTCATACGTCTATACTCTCTGATTATGCTGCAAATTTAAGCTGGTCATCGTTGACGGCAGGGTAAAAATAGGAGAGTTAAAAAAAGACATTTGCGGAAATATATAAAATAATGATTTCATCAAATAAATGTTGACATCTGCTCTCTTGAAAAAACCATGATATTGAAATAAGTAAATAGTAGAGTGTTATAGTTTATATCTTTTGATAAAATTCGGAAGTTTTTCTCAGGCCCAGCCTGAAGGAATGACATACACCCTCATGTAAATTTAAACAGCCGCTTTATTCGCCATACGGCCAGTTTTAGACCCACTGAAGTCACAGGTTTTTTCAATTTCTCTTTTTTCCTCAGATGTGGTCATTTGCAGTGGTGTGCAGTAATATGAATCTATTTTCAGAGTGTATCATTAAATTTGTTTGGCCTTGAAAAATAATGCGTTATCCGTGATTGTATCAGATTTTGTCACACACAGGCACTATTGTCTCGACTGTTGATTACTTATCCTTTGGCCACTGTCTGCGATGGACGTTACACCAAAGAAATGCATGAAAATTGTAATGCTGCACGTACACACCGTTAAGCCTTACCAGTGAACAAATCAAAGTACTTTCGACTTTCCCGGGGACACTCCTGATTTAAATCCAATCGATAATCTGTGGTCAATCTGCAAGGATAATGTTCGTGGAATGGACATACGAAGTACTAACATGTGCACTGGGTCATGTTTCATTGGAAAAATATGAAGAAAGTTAAATAATAACGGAATTATTTGTTTTGTTTCATTTAATTTGCACAAGGGTGTAGTTGTCGATGTTTTTCTATCTTTTCTATGTCATGCTCTTTCGTGTTGTGGCAATCATTGCTCGCTCCATTTTAAAATCTGGATGATTTTTCGTTCTGTTATTTCTACAAATCTGCATTCTAACTATATGAAGATCAGAAATGCGAGGCACCTGTTATTTTTACACAAAAGACTCCTCAATGCTTTCTTTAATGTTTCCCCTTTTTTAGCGAGATTGATGCTCGACAAGCATACACATAAAAATTTTAGATCCTAATAGAATTCTTTTCATTTTCTTTTTCATTTCAAAATAATCACAAATTTTAAGGAATACGTTTTGAAAGCGTCGCCCATGTGACGACAACGTGACCATGCTAAACGGAAAGCTGATCATTTTAAAAATTTTCAGTTATCTGTTTTGGATAAGACTTGTTTTTTACGTCCATCGTCTTTGTGAAATTGAACTGAATTGTATTTTAATGAATATTGTCTTGAAAAAGGTTTATTAAACCGAAACGTCAGACGTCGACATTTCATTCATTTTAAACATAATTGCATTTAAGGATTTTTGTTTGTTTTTTTCAAATTTTCTTCATATATATATATATATATATATATATATATATATATATATATATATATATATATATATATATATATATATCATTAAATTTTTATGGAATGGGGCGCGTTTTGTAGGACACCCTTGTGAGGTTTCGGTATTATGGTGTATGGAGAATTGATTGGTGACGGACGAGTTTTTGCGGTGAATGGGCAAATTGTAATGAGTGAATGGATCGTGAATCGGATTAGCTACGCATAAGATAGTTAGTGACGACCAGCCTCATTCCTCCCGCCAATTATTGGCCTTGTGCCGTAATTGTGTATTTTGCACAATAAATAAACATTAGGGTAAGTAAAGACAACTGGTGACTTTCGTAGAACTAGTAAGTGTTGTGAACTAACAAATTGTTGCGACGTAAGAGTGAGACTTTTAAATTTTCTATTAAATACATTTTAAGATCCAGCCTCTTAAGATATGGTTTTATTTATTTATTTATTGATGGTTGTTTTTGTTGTCTGTGCAATGTCTCTACGAACATAAGTCTTTTTTACTATTTGATTTTCCTAGAATTTTGGTATTCTTTGTGAGTGGCTGTCTAATGTTACATTGATCCTTATGCTGCTTATTAATGTGCTAAATGATGGAACTATTGTCCGATGCGTGGCAGGTGATTGATTGATTCATTTTCTATGGTTTATCAACCCTTTGCAGGTTATTAAAACCAGAAAATATTTTTAGATTGTAAGAATTTGGGGTGGGGGGGATAATGATTTTAGTGATATAAGTTTTACTAATTAACCCATAGTTTGGGGGAGAAGGGATGGATTCATATCTTTTCCAGTTGCAAATGCGCGTAAGTGAATATAACGAACCCAACATGAATTAAAATTCGGCTGTAAGATGAACAATTCGGATATATTAACCATTACGCCACCCGACTTCGCTTTTTTTACGTGGTGTGGCCGTAAGCCTAGATAGCCGGCGAAAGTGTGGCCGTAAGCCTAGATAGCCGGCGAAAGTGTGGTTGTGGTATATCCTACGTAAGATGTTTTGTGCTTTTTTTTTATTTACAGGAGAACATTCTCCTTGCGGCAACTATATTCACAAACAAAATAGGTCTTATATAGGGTGTTGGAAGTTTTGGATATATTACTTTTAATAAGTAAGTTGCTAGTGTTGATTTTTTGTCTGCGAATGATTATTTGTAACTTGGTAAAGTCGATCATTAAAAATTAAAATTAATCGAAACAGAATGTCTGGCGTTTTTATTAGTAGAGGTTTACTTGACACCCCACTGAGTTAGGTTGTGATACAAAGTCGTTTTCTACGTGGAAACCCGATTGTTTTCACTCGGGCTACTGGTCTATGCTGGTCTTAGATGACCATAGCTTGTCCAAGCTGGTCAGATGTCGTCTAAGCTAGTCATAGCTGGTCTTAGCTGGTCATAGCTTGTCCAAGCTGCTCAGAGATCGTCTAAGCAAGTCATAGCTGGCCTTATCTGGTCATAGCTTGTCCAAGCTGGTCAGAGATCGTCTAAGCAAGTCATAGCTGGTCTTATCTGGTCATAGCTTGTCCAAGCTGGTCAGAGATCGTCTAAGCAAGTCATAGCTGGTCTTATCTGGTCATAGCTTGTCCAAGCTGGTCAGAGATCGTCTAAGCAAGTCATAGCTGGTCTTATCTGGTCATAGCTTGTCCAAGCTGGTCAGAGATCGTCTAAGCAAGTCATAGCTGGCCTCTTAAGCTGGTCAGAGATCGTCTAAGTCATATCTGGTCTAGCTTGTCCAAGCTGGTCAGAGATCGTCTAAGCAAGTCATAGCTGGTCTTATCTGGTCATAGCTTGTCCAAGCTGGTCAGAGATCGTCTAAGCAAGTCATAGCTGGTCTTATCTGGTCATAGCTTGTCCAAGCTGGTCAGAGCTTGTCTAAGCAAGTCATAACTGGTCTTATCTGGTCATAGCTTGTCCAAGCTGGTCAGAGCTTGTCTAAGGTATAATAGTCAGTGATACCTGCTGACCTGTACCAGTTAAGTATGGCGTTTTTAATATTATAAAATTTTACGTGTATTTTTTATGTTAGCAGAACCTCTGCCAAACAAAAATCACTCAATAGGTATTATAGTTAACCGACTCAATGATTTCGCATGAAAACGCTCAGTAGATTCAGATGATTGATAAATCAGTTGAACTATCAATAGATAATAATTCAATCAGATAACATTTTTCATTCTTTCTGTGTGAACGAACGCTAATTCTAATTTACAAATTTCAAATTCTTAACAAATTTTAAAATTTACACCTTCTGAGGAAACTCTAGCGTGGTAAGGATTTAAAATTTGGAAGTATTATCCAAAAACTAGTGTAACATTGTTAAAATTAGAGATGAAAAATTATTTTCAAAAATATTTTAGCAAACGAATCTTGACTTATTTATTGGTCAGGAAAATTCCTGTTCACTAAATATTAGTTTACAAATTATTTACTGGTGAGAGAAATAAAACCACATTATTTATTCTTGGGTAAAAAATTGAGACTTTGTTTTTATTATTCAGCTGCCAAATTTCCGCCACCTTTGACGACACTACGGCTATTCATCACCATATTTCACAAGGGAATTTCAGTGATACAAGTAGGCATATTATGGGATGACAAAGAACTACCTTTCCCGACAAACATTTATTATCATTTGGTTATCTATAAGGCGGTGAATCATGTCGAGAACATTTTATCAGTATACATTGGGTATATTTGGGCAACAATATTTCATTTATACGATTTTCGAATAAAAAAAACGAGGAAGATATAGCCAAACCGACGATTGCTGAGAGAACTAGGGACAATATTTCAGCAAAGAGAAGGTTTCAAAGAAAATAATAGTCACAGAGAAGCCTATACTTCAAATAAGAAAGACAATTAAAATCGAAAGGTTTACATAATGAGGAAAGATGGCATGGAGAATTTAATACTCATATGTAAAAATGAACACGAAGTAGACATGGATAAATATCGAGTAATCTACTTGGTTGAATGGATGGCAGGAAAAAGATGACGGATGGTAATATTTGGGTATCAAGAACAGTTTGATTTTTAAAATATAGCGTTCAAAATAATAGGAAACAATTATATATATATATATATATATATATATATATATATATATATATATATATATATATATATATATATGATGAGACGTTAGTCCGAATAATGTAATGTATATAATACATCATCTC